TTTTTTGATTTCTTTGTTGTGAAGCGTTATTTGTTTCTTATTTATGTCTGATGTTTTAGTTCTTTACGTCGCTGTTCACAGATCAACAATTCTGGTTCAGTCAACTTTTTTCGTCCAGCCCCACCCCTGCAAATGTTCGTCTTAAAATCGATCATAAAGTCAGTTTTCATAATCGTAATATATCAAATGCGTATCAGTTTACCTTGTTGAAGTTGGTACTTCAAATACTTGATAACTTCTTTCACTTTTCTGATGTTTTAGGCCAACTGTCAGTCAATATTCAAGAATGCGAAGTGCTCCTTCTGGAGCAGTGATAATGCGACTGGCTTGATATTTTTTGATTTCTTTGTTGTGAAGCGTTATTTGTTTACTCGGCATTGTTGTGGAACACAACAATCCCGTGTAAACAAATATCTGTTGGCATTGTTGATGACGTCATTTTTTGACGACAAATTGGTTGAAGACAACGAGGAATCACAAATTTTTATAGTAAGAAGATTAATTCCTTCATGAATCAGTTTTGATTTGTTACTGCCACATTTTAAAAACACTTATTTATTATTTTCAAGTAATTTATCCTGTGGTTCGCTTAATATTATGGTAATGATAAAAATGGTTGAGTGGGTCAGGAATGTGAATTTGGTTGAGAGAAAAGACATGAATACAGAATTTTGGAAGAGACCTCTAAGATAACATTCTCCAACGGCCAATCTTGGTCTAGAAGTCAGGCCATGTGGAAATCTCAATGCTTAGTAAAGGCAATGCACTTTTCAACATTTCCATTTGAGATATAAGAATATGTTGCAGTCATGAACATTGCTAAGGCTCTAAGAAAGAATCAAGTTCAATACATACACAGCAATACATGTTAAGAGTGAATGAATATGCCTGTACATATTTTATGCTTGAGACCAAGTGCCTACTCATAACTGACGTCTTATATGTTGAGTTACAAACTTAGATACTGTACTGAACTATGGAAATGTGTTTATACATGAATCGAGCTTAAGGCATCTGCCAAAAACTTCAGTAACAGCAACAAATTTTTATTTAATTTTATTATCATGACTGTACATTAAAACTAGAAACAATTTGAAAATCAAAAGTCTCATCCAATATAATGGAAAATGCTTTTGAATTTGTCTTGACATTAATTTAGTCACTTCATACTCAAACTGGCCAACAACACTCAAATAAATATCCTCTAAAAGTATTCTCATAGATCTACAATTTCAAGGTAAAATAATGTGAATCTAATCAAAGGTTCCAGAGTTATTAATGTGTTAACTCTGTGAAAACCACAAACATAACATTCTTCTTTTGTATATAGTAACTGGAAATTGATATCCATGAAATGGCAATACCAGCTCGTGTACTACTTCATAAATAGTCACACTTTAAGACTGACAGGTGACATTACATTCTGTGATAATGAGGCAACATACATTTGCTGATGACCCCTCTTCCAAATTTAATTTCAAATAATTTATTACTAACATGAACAATAATATAAAGGTATTTGCAGTAATGAGGAACAATTCTGAATTTCCACATACTTCAAGGAGCGATGTTGAAGTTCCAGTCTCTGAAGTTTGCAAATTGGTTTCATTATGTAATACACTTTTAATTGATTTAATTTGTTAAACCTTAAAGTGAGTAAACACCTCTGCTTCCAGGCTTGTCTTCTGCTGAACACACATTTAAGGTTGATTCAAATATGGCACATACCCAAGTTTTATGAATATTGAGTTCTTGGTGCAGGTTCAATGCTGTATAATTTTAGCCTAATAATTAGACTGTCTGGATGTTCACTAACCTAGATACTTCATTACATTTTAGACACAGAAGACCAAACCATGTCTCTTATTTTAAAACAAAATACTAAAACAGTATGAATGCACTTAAGTCAAATGGTCCCTGGTACTTGCATATGGAAGGGAATATAAATACAGAAGCATGAACAACACTGAATATTTATAAAAAAGTTATTTGTTTTCTCATCTTGAAATTCTAGAATATGTGCAAGTGGTAACAACACAAAACACAGAAGTGACATCTGTAATATGTCTCAGTATACATGTACCATTCCATACAAGAATCTGTAAATGGTTAAGGAAAACAGCTAAACAGTACTAATTCAATGGCACACTGCATGCAGCATCCAAGAAATCATGGATCGCATGTTGCTTTTCCATAACAGGTATCTGGACTTCATAACTACACAAAGACCATCTGATTGATTGCAGCAGTGTCCAGACTACACAAATAGCAAGTTATGACCAGATGGTTCACAGATATATATGAGACAGTTGTTCTTCCAACCCTATCCTTGAGTCTGGAATCTTGAAACCCCCGCAGCCTGTGGGCAGTTAATAGTTCTATGCGGCTTTGAGGGAGAAAAGTACAAGAAATGTCCACTGTTAAGAAGAGGATAGGAGAACTTAAAGCACATGGAGAGGTGTTATGTCAGCTACATCCCTCGCACCCCCATGAATTTGGTAATTTAGTTTTCTAGAAAAAAGAATCTTCTTCAGTTGGTTTGATTCTACCCTTCTTCATTTCATGTCTTATATTGACAACTTATTTTCCAGTTTCAAAATAAGTAATATATGGAGTACACTGACATTCCGCAGGTATTCGTCACATCATAGGCGTTGACAATAGGTTGACTAACAGACTAAAAAATGCCACAACTCTAACATAGGGAACAATTGTACCTTAAGTCACTGCTGCAATAATATGATCTTAGTTCACTGCTGAATACTAAATACAGTAATTAACAATGAAAATTACAGCAGCAATAACAAAAATAATATGACTCACACAGTGAGTATGGGAAGTGGCGTTCCCAAAGCACCTGAGCTACCCTATGTCTGGGGGTATAGCAGGTCCACCCATCCCCTGGGGATATAAATTTAGGGGACTGGTCCTCCAAGTTGGAGTTGGGAGATAGGCTGACAACCTATCCCTGTAAAAGAAACATTGTTATAAAGCAGCAGAAAATAGTGGAAGTGAAGACCCAATATGGGTTGTAGTGCATTTGATGCTGATGATGAACATTAGGAATAATAATAACAACAGAAATAAGAATAAGAATGGGAATAGCAACAATAGGAGCAACAATAGAAATAGCAGCAGTAAAAATAACAATAACCTCTGGGACCACTGTTGTAGAAAAATGTGACTGACACACACACATGGATGAGCCCTTAAGGTGTTCTCTGTTCACATTAGAGTATGAAGAACAGCTAGAATTAAATCTGATGGTGCACTAACACAACTGAAAATTACTGATACACACACAATGCTGTACAAATTTTGTGGTATTTGAGGTATCCATATCTACCACAATGATGTACATAATAAAGTTTTCTGCATCAACATAATTATGTCTGAGATCTGCAGCTATGTGGCTGTCACTCCTGTTTTGTATTTTGGAGGTCCAACGTTCAAATATACTGGCCTGGAAAACATCTATCCTGACTAGTATTCCTTAGCCCCTCTCAACAAATAATGGGACAGTACCTTCAAAAGCCACAACTGCTTCCTTCCATATTCTTCCTAATTAATTATTCACTATACATCCTAACAGTCATCACTATAAATCTGAACTACTGACACTGTTATTAAATAAATAAATAAAACATGATTATGACTAATGAAATCTTATACATGGACATTTTTTTCCAGTAATGTGCAAGACCCACATCTACTAACTAACAAAGCTAGGTTGCTGAATTTTGTAATTTTCCACAAGATACAGAAGATTTATATTTATTTATGCAAGATAGGAAAGGATACGTCCAGAACAACACATATGTCTGAAGAACTGTTAAGGAACCAAATATGAAAAAAGCAAGTTACAGTGAAACA